AAAGCAGCAGACGCGTACCGGTAGAGTTGCAAGTTTACAATAAATACCTCAAAATTTTGTTGTGAATACTTTACAGCAAACACAGACAAGCACTTAGGGGAATTCGTAGTACCTGTCACAAAAATCACCTCGTAACAAGACTAGCGACAGTTTTTTTAAAAAATGTGGAATTGAAGACGTTTCAGAACGTAGAAAGTTGTTCCAGTGTCATACACAGTGCATAATCTTCAACCTTCCAACAATTTCTCTAGTCTCGTAGAAACGTCTCCAAATTGCCTCCAAAAAACTTCCTAACTACAAAGGAACCTTTGAAAAATTGAAGTTACGTTCAGGGTGGCTTCAGAGTGACCCAAGCTACCTTAAGCAATTTTCCGTTAGTTCAATAGACCTTTTATATCACTTTAATGAGCTCAATTTGCACTGATCAAATGAGAGCATTTCTGTCGAATAATAGATGCCCTAGTTCAAAAAAATGATTTCTCATGAGAAATAAGAAGGAAGAGGGAGCGATTTGGAAAAGAAAAATGTCCAAACAGTGAAAACCGAAATATTTTTTTCAAAGTTCTGACTGCAACCCATACATGTCAAACAACTTTTTCCATAGGAAATGTTTAATAGTAATCCCATAAAGAATGAAAATAAAAATGTATAACGTTTGTAATTTAAAAAATTAACAAATTACCAGCGTCTGCAAGAATTTAAAGCCATAATTAACATTAGAATTCGAATACAATGGATATCTCAAAAAATCACTAATCATCATCACTCCACCGATCCTCTTGGAGTTTCTGCAACGTGGCAGTCGTCTCATCAGTTAATACTTCGTCGAAAGCAGAGGTCCATAAAAGAAGAGTCTTGTCATTGGCAGAACTGACCACCTGAAACAATTTCGCGACCCTATAAATATGAAAAATTGGAGCAGAAGACTACAGTTCTTACTGAAATGTGAGAACAAAAATAAAACACCTCAGTTTTACAGTTTGTTAGACATCTGACGCCAAAGATGCTGTAACAACTGCGCTTAGCAGAAAAAAATTCTTTACATCTGCTATATTTCAACCAGTCTAAAATCCTTGAAAAACAGCAATAACGACCAACTTTGAATAGAGATATATTTACAAACAGTAATTAACGTAGAATAAATTTTTGAAAAATTAAAAAACCTCACTAAGAAGTAGCTGCGACTACAGGTTATAAATTCAAATACGTTTACTGCAAAATCCAACTTAAAAAACTGATAACTAAAAGAACTGGAGCAAAAGTTTTTCTTCGATTTCAGCTTTATTTATATTCATTTCAATCCATCTAGTAAACGAACTAAACGAAGCGCTGGAAGTAAATAACCGCAACTGCAACAATATGAGAAAAAGAACTGAAATGAAGAGAATGGTTTGCAAGACTAACCTGGCAGACGTCCTGCCGAAAAACAGAAGCATTCACATATTGAAAATGACCTTTCAAAAAGAATCGAGAACACTTGTAGCTATTACTACTCATACGATCCTCTTTGCTAAAATTCGTATTCAATTCCACAATCAAAACATCGTCATCAAAAGGTATAGCCAGATATAAAGCATTTCCTACGGAAAATATATCGAAACTGATAGAGGGGTTAGACGAAGGAGTGGGGATTAAACCTTTTTTTAACTGAAATACGCTGATCGTAAAAAGATGAATTAGTACTCTAGAATTAAGTTGCTTGATAGAAAATCTGATTTCAAAAGCGAAACAGGATCTCATAAAAAAAAACTAAAATCGCAACCCTGATTGTCTCTAATAGCTCCATGTTATGAGCATCCCATATTCGAATCACCCTATCAATGCTCATAGACACTACAAATAAACCATCACTGCTAAACTTCAATCCACCAACAGCGGCTCCGTGAGCAGAGCGACACTTATCTTGTAACAGTTTCAGATGGCTTCTCCCACTCCTAAAAACTACTCGAGACTGGATTACTGCTGTACAGTAGAAAAATAGACTTTTTAAAAGCCATACCTAACAAGCAAACCCTTATAAATGAAAAAGAGATATAGAAATCAACAAAAAATCCACCTTCTTGAAATTTTCACCATGAAGGAGTCAAGTAAATGTACATTTTTATTATAAATAGCAATAGGCACTAGAACCAGAGGATATTACAGCGACTAACAGCCTGATGCTAGAAAAAGGAATGAACACAAAGATGAGACTGGAATATAAAAAGCTGTGTACCGAATATCCCAAACTGAAATATTTCCATTTCTTCCTCCAGTGAGCAGAATGTAATCCAATTCCACCGACCACTGGACAGCACTAACAGACTCTATCTTCCACCTCAAATTACGGATAGCTTCACCAGCTCTAAAAAATTTTCAAACACGTCCAAACTGATGGTAAGTTCCTGCTTATATTCCTTCATCGCAAAGACTGCAATGCTAACTGTTGAAGATGTATCTTAATTCCTAAACACAGAAATCTAAAAATCTTATCTCGGGAACAAACCTCGGGTCAATTAGCTCGATATTTGAAGTCAAATTGGCAACAGCGATTAAAGGTCTATTAGAAGGGACAGTATTCCAGTGAATCTGTGTAACAGTCTCTTTGAAAGGATACTGATCTAATGGCCGCATCACATTGGTATCCCACAACTTAAAAAGGTACTTATCAAATAACGAAACGAATTTTAAACAATTTTTCTTAAGTACTCAGAAAGAAGCAGATTTTTTCAGACTCAAATCCCTGAAACTAGACATACCACCGAGATAAGTTTACAACAACACTCTGCCGTTAAGAAGCAATGACAACGAGGATAACTTTACCGCAACAGTTTTATCCATACTTGATGTCACAAACATACTAGAGTCTCTAGGATACCATTGACATTTTGTTACCAAATACCGGTGACTGTAAAAGATCGAAGAATAACAATCACAAACGTAACTTCAAATCAAACCACCATTTTATTCTTGACTACTCAACCACCACCTCCATTTCAACAAGATTTATAAACATCATCAAAAATGGATAATGACATAATGGTATAATTAAAACTAGCTGCTAAAGCACAAGCCAAGTACAGAGCAGCAGCAAAATTGCGAAAGTGGTTAGCGAAAAAATAATAAATATCGATCAAATTAAAATATCAAAAAATAACTAATGCAAAAAGTCGGACCTATAACCGTAAATGACTACATGGCAGTAACCACATTAAGAAGCTTTAAGTCCAAAATGCTTACCAAACCCTACTGACTGACAATGGTGCCAAGGGTTTTCCAGCACTACAGTTACTGAACGATTCGAGATCATATATAGATAGTAACCCATTACAAGCCCCACACAGTAAACTAAAGAAACAGATATAGAAAACCTGAAAACTAATCCTCAAAAGCGCCCGGATTTAAACGCAAAAGTAAAATTAATTCTGCTTTTATAAAATAAATGACATTATATAAGTTAACCTATATATATATATGGACCATTTTAAATCGCACAAGTTTGCACCTCGTTCTCTCAGACCTATTTCTTTTTTTGCCTACTCGTAGCACTCGGTACCAAATTTCA